CCACCCCCCCACCCCTCCCCTCAGGTTTATTTTCCTTCCAAACTTTTCTCTACTCCTTCAGGAAGTGTGGGCCAGACAAGTTAGTCAGGCTCAAGCAGCCTTCATGAAATCAGAGATATGCACCCACAAGTCACTTTTTGTTTCATTTCAGCAGAGCAAATTAGCCTTCATATTTGTTCTTCTGATTCTGGATGCGTGAGATGGCACAGAGGCACAGCAGCACTACCACAATGGTTACTGCATCCTACTAAATTGCAGCAATAAATATTTTGGATGGAGCTGATGCAGAGAAAAGCCATGAAGCTTGTTTTGAAACACTGCAAATGTCAGAAATACCCAGTAAGAGCCAACTCCAGTGCTGCCAAACCAAGGCCATATGGAGTCCCTGTCTAACAAGCCCAGCTTGCAAAGCCATGTAATGTTACTTGACGTTACCGACCCACATACCAACACTTTGTAGTGTGGAATACGAATTGGCCTTTCCCTGAGAGCACCCTAACGCTAAGAGCTTGGGCCTGAGAGAATATCAAACCAAATGGCAGAGGGGGCTTCACCATGTCCCACCTTACTCTGCCAACAGATGTACAGGAATGGCCATTCTCTTCCCTCCAGGCCCCCACATAATGTGAATAAAAGCTCAGAGAAAGTGCTGTATCTGGACCTCTTCAAAAAGATTATTTTGGTTTCCAAAATTCCCCTGACCTGACTCCGAGAAAACTCAGATTATGGCCTAATTTATGATGTCATTATACTCATGTGATGGGAATAAAGTTTCCAAGCTTTGTCCCTACTGATTTTATCTTACCAAAGCAATAACAACCATGGAAAGGGAACTATCACAGACACTGTTTGGAGGTTGAATCTATTCAACTGCATATTAGGCACAGAGATACAGATTTGCTGTCCTTTGTCTTGGACACTTTGCCGATTAAATGCATGGTACTTCTGTACATACACGAGTGGCCTGGAGGACCTGCTCCGCTCAGAGCTGATAATCCTGCTTTTTTATAAACATCTGCCCCCACTAACCAATGCCAAGACAATAGCAGCAAAGGTTTTCTATTCACCTGAGAAAAGCCCCATTGTATCCAAGGAAAGGCCTCAGCAAGAACCTTCAGCACATTAAGGGAAACTTACCTGTCCCTCTCCAGCAGCGAGTATTCAGAAGCGCTGTAATTTTTCTGAACAGCAATGAACTGTTTATTGTCAATGGTGAGGTTGACATCTTCACTCAAACCATTAATGAATCTGCAAAGAAAGCATATTTCATTGGGTTGTCAGACAGGGCAGGAGAAGTGTAATCAGACACTTCAGAAGAAGTGGACTCTCTCTCCCAAAGCCTTCTGTAACTCCCTAAGGTTAGGACAGCCTCTCCTACAAGCTACCAAAATATTCACCTGATGCATTGCCCATTTTTTTTCAACATATGATTAGTTTTCCCTGCTGTGTAATTTTGTCCTGTTACTCTCTCTCCTGTGAAAACTGACCCTCACTTTTTGTGGGTTAAGACCTCCAGGAAATCTCTTCTCAGAGACCTTCCAAGATTGTTCTGTGATTGTCTGAGAGGACAAGAGCCGCAGCCCACCCCAGGAAACTATAAAATTGGGTGTCCTGATGAGTTTGTGCACCATTCTGGCATACTTTCCAAGGAGTTTCTACCAGTGGGAAAGAGTTTTCTAGCAAAATAAGGTATTTTCATCAAAACCAAATCTGTCATGGGAATGTTTGGGTGTGGGATTTTTTCACCCAGTGTTTACATGCTTTTTCATACACAAGAGTTTCCTTCTGACAACTCAAAAATCGTTAGCAAAACCAAACAATTTTCATTTGATCTGACTGTGTTTTAAAACATTTTGGTTTTCAGTTCTTAAAATGGGGGAGAAATCCCAGAAGATAAAGTGCTTAACAAAAGTAACTTTTTAGTGGAAAAATAGTTTCTTCCTAGTAAAATCTCTTCAGAAACAGTTGAAGGGAAAGTTCTGAGATTTTGTCAAAAATGTTCACAGGAAAATATAAAACATTCCTGACAGTATTCCAGGTATTAATCAAGTCTCCAAGGTGGTGGTCAGTCAGTAGAAGCCTTCACAGGCACAGAGCTATGAACAGACACTGTTCCCCTGCTCTGTCAACAAAGGCTTTCAGATAAGGGAGTTGGACATTGGTTTATACTATCTAAAGTTTTTGAGGGTTTTTTTGTTTGGTTGGTTTCCTTCTGTTTTTTTGGGGGGAGGTTGGTTGGTTTGTTTTTAAATTGCAGCTTGCCCAAATCATCCAGAAAGTCCAGCTGAAATCCTTTTTTTTTTTTTTTTTTTTTTTCCCCCCCAAATCTGAATATCTGAATCTCAGCAGCCTTGCATAGGCCTGGTGATGTGGTGCTGGAGGTAACTGTGACCTCAGTGAGATGGCATCTTGGCACAGGACTGTTCATGGACTAGCTCAAATTAGGAAAGTAGACTAGCTGCTTAAGCAGAGCCCAATGCCCAGCTGAATTTAAGAGGATGTAAAATTGTTGCTGCATCCAATTTAGTAGGCATTTGTGCATGAGGTTGGGTAAGATAAATGAACGTCATGGGTTGGCCAGTTTGCAGAGGACAAATGGCAATGGTTCCTTTCCAGACTGCTTCTTCCCTTTCTTCCCAAGGAGGCAGAACACAGTGAGATGAATTTACCACTCTTCCAAGGGAGGACATCTTTTACATTGCCATCTCAGCCCAGACTATCCTAGGCAGTAAGCAGCAATAATGCTCAGTTCTGCATGGCAAGTGTGGGAGGTGACACGCTGTCAAGCCTCCACAGCTGACACCTGAGTATTTCATGATTATTATGGACTAGATTCCAACCTGAGAACATCTGGATTATGTTACATATATTTTGCATTAGACAAAAGCAGTTTCCCTCACCCCACCAACTCAAAATCCCCAGAAAAAGCCATTCCTACCTAACAGCTGCCAAACCATTTTCTGGCTTTGCTTCCAAGTCTGTAATCTAAAGAGAGAAAGAAAAAAAAAGATCAAACACATTTATTAATGCTGCCTTATAACAATGTGCAGCAGAAATACTAGTGTCTGTGCAGTTAGATGCGTTGTAAAGCCCGTGGAAATCAACTGGACTCTCATATAAACTTTACACCCAGCCACAGAAGTACATTTTACAATGCTGAAAAAAGGCAGTAAAGACAATGCCCTGCTCTGAAGATTTTATGTCACACAAAAAGAATACAGAGTAAGGGTCTTGGCTGGTAAAAATCCACAGTTGTGCCATGTCCACTTAAGCTTGCAGAGCAATTTCAATTAGCACTGCCCACAGATGGAACTCAGGCAAGCCAGAAGGGACTGAATCTACCTTCAGAAACTGCCTTTCTCTTAAAATTTTCTAGCCCTTTCTCCACACTTTATTCCTGATGTTAAACCCTGAGCTTCTGAGATCAAGGATGCAGAATTTCAGTCTACTTATGAAACGTCTATTGTATTTGTGTGATATGCTGACCCACAAATAATGCATGCCCTAAATAATAAATAGCCACAGTGAATACTAAATGTCAGAGCAATAAATAATAAACAACAACATCATCATTTTTCTCCATGAGAGACACATGGGGATTAACACTCTAGTTCGTTGCAGACAGACCAGCCAAATCATTACTCGTTTTCATCAATGAGTCCCAGAGCTCTCAAATTCATTTCCTGCCTACTCAACAGCCCACAAAGGAGAAGAAACCAATTTCAGATTGGATCCTTCCAGAAGAGCACCCCCACCTGAGAGAGGAGCCAAATCCAGCAGTGAGGGAGGCTGGTGTGGGCCATGGCTACTCCAGGGCAAGCCCAGCAACACAGGAGTGATGCTGGCATTGCCTGCCTTGTGTTGCAAGGCTGGAAAAACGAGTATCATTTACCACACACTCTTCCACACCTCCCTTATCTACAGCTGAGAATGACAGGCCAATAGCATCACCCAACAGCACGGCTATTCCCCAGCACGTAAGAGCCTGCCTGTGCCAGGGTGGGCATTAATTTAAGCACAGGCTAGATAGCTAAGACAGCACAGAGATGTACCAAAGCTCAGAGACTTGCTCCAGCCTGTCACAGACTTTCACTTCTTAAGGACTGTATGAAAATTACTGTACAAGCATCCATTTCTTAAGGTAACAGCACACAGTCATCAGGGTCACGGGGAACCTTAACACTGTGTGATAATAAGCCCCAGGCTCTAAGCCATAAAGCAGAAAAAAACCCCAATTTTAGGAAAAAATAAATGCTTAAACCTCCTCATTTTTAAAAACAGTTATGTGGCTTCCACTATACAATACTGACTGCTTGGTGTGGCAGCCCTGCAAGGTAGGAGGCTGAGGAAGTGCAGAGAGAATTGATATTTTAGCATAAGGACAGATTCTATGACATTTACACACGTGCCACAATGTGCAATAACACCAGTCACTTCAAGAGAGATTCTTAGGATACAGCTACAATGTAAAAGATATTAGAATCTGGCTCTATCATCCCATATGTTTCTCTCTGATTGTTGCAGCAATACACAAAAGTCCAAACACAGCCGGCTCTGCTGCAAAGCCCGAAATGAGCTTAATCATTTATTCTGTTCAGCAAAACAAATGGGCCTTCTGTGCATTTTCACTAAACACTTGCAATAACTAAACCTGGAATCATTCCTCTGATACTTTTATTCCATGCCCAGCCCTAGAGCCTCTTTAACATCTTTTGCTTTATAAAACCATCTTTGGGGGGAAATCTCTGGCGCTCTCCTTCCTCAGCGTTCTCAAGATCTGCTGCCTAGCAGGCATGACTTTGCTCTCCCACTGCAGCACTCACTGGATTAAAGTGTGCCCAGAAACTCTCAGATGCCATAATGCCTCTATTAATCAACCAGCAGAAATGCATACAGATCCAGTGCCGCTAGCTAAGAAGTCAGGTTTAGAGCATCTGAGAGCAATCAGACAGACATTGCAACTGAACAAATGAATTAATGAGCCTATTACCCCATTGTATCATCACAGCCATTGAATTAATACTGTATTTACATTTCACTCCCACACTCACTAAGCGGCTTGATAGGCTTCCGTCTGCCTCAAAAACAATTAAGCTGTATACTGATTTTTCCTTCACAGTATAGTTAAAATCAAGAGACAATCCTTGATGTTGCAGGGTGAAGCGAAGGCTCTGTTCCTCTCCATTCAATATTAATTTTGAGTATTCAACTGGATTCTGTGAAAAAAACAAACTTAGTTACACTTTTTTCAGACAAGAAAGGATTTGGCTCTTCCCACCAAGTGCAACCCTATCCTCTCTTCAAGGCAGCCTGTAAAGAGAGGTTAGCAGTCAGAGCTGTCTTCTAAAGCAAAGGACCTATGTTGACCTCTGGGCTTTGGGCTGGTCAAGCCAGAGCTTGGAGTATCTTCCCTTGCCTGATGCAACACAAAGGTCAGGGAACACCTACTCTTCCCTGGCCTTTATCTGCCCTGATGGGACCACACCTAAAACACAACAGGCTGCCAGTGGCCAGTGGACTGCTTGGCCAAGTCCCAGAGTAGCCTGACCTGTAAAGTAATCTGGAAGCTGACATAAGGAAATGACCCAGCACCTATGTCCAGTTAATTGCCTTCCATTTCTTTCCTGCTTTGCAAGTAAATACTTCCCAGATGCCATCCAGATCCCAGCAGCAATGACTGGTCTGAGCACTCAGAGATGTGAGTTGAATGTCTCTACATGCTCATCTGAGGACAATTATCCTTTATTCCTAATTACAGGTGAATGTAGTTAGTTATTTACTCCTTTGCCATGGAAATATGTCTCTAAACTGTCCACTTCTGTCTCATCAATGGAGATAATATGCTCCATTATTAAAGCTATTCCTATGCACTTCTAAGGTGGTAGAGGAGAACAAGCTCTAGAATCTGTGGGTTTTATTAGAAAACACTTGAAGAAAAGACTGCCCTTTCTTCAATGGGATGCAAGCGGGGAGGTCTTCCAGCCCCACATATATGCTTACCTGAAAAGCCTCCACAGGCTGCTGAAATAGGTCCTGGTCTTGGATTGTCACTCGAACAGGGTTCTTTGCCAAATTCAGAACCCGAATTAAACTTTCTTCTGGGACAAGTCGAGGCATATCGTTTTCCTAATTAAAGTAAAAGGCTTTAAGTGCCATCTGTATGCTTTATTAGCACTTTAATATCTCTTCCTTTTTAGCCGTAATAGTCTTCCTCTCTGTAATGACACTTTTCCATCCCTTCCTCATCAGAAGTTGCATTGAGAGAAAACTGAACATAAATCTTATTTAGGGAGTTTTCCTCATAGTATCTCAATAGCCAACCTATCATTCCTCCCAAAAACTGCTCTTCACATCACTAAGCATACAGGCTACACAACTGCTGGGTAGGTAGAACAATGTCACTGCTTTCATTATACAGCTCCCTAGTGCCTGGATTTAACCAACTGCCATAACAGAATGGAAAAAAATTGTGCTTAGATTTCAAAAGCAGTGACCAGAATAATTATTTCCCACTGCAGTCAGTGATTGGGAAAAGAATTAGGCCAGAAGCTAAGCAGTTTTGAAAATCCCAGTTCAGTTCCATGTCTGTAATCGGTGTTTTTGCATCACTTGACACCATGCTATCTTAACAGCTGACTGTATAGATCTTATTTCCTGTTTTCTGAGAAAGGAAAGGCAATGCCTCCAGCACAGAGGTATCTCTTTCTGTCAGGAATCATTTCCTAGAAAGAGTACATCAATCAGTGTCAGCATTGTACTACCTGCAGATCTAAAATTAATTTATTTTTTTAAAAAGTCTCCTTTTTTCTCACTTTAATTTCAAGTAGCTGTCAGCAATACTTCAGAGCTATCCATTTTTTACTATCTCATCCTATAATTTCGGTATTGCCAGCAGGGCAGTTTGAACCCAACTCGGTGGGGAAACATACTGGCAGAGAAGATAGGGCGACACTGATTTCCCTGTACCCATGTGCTGCTCTGGACCAACAGGCCTGTTAACATTATCCAGCAAATTCCATTACTGTGGCTTTTCACCTGTGCCACCCACAGCCAAGTCAAGGTGGCCCATCCTAGCCCCCTCTTCGTTAGAGCTTTTAGTGGTCTTCAGGGTAAAATTTCCATGCACAGGCAGGGGGGAACCTCTAACTCACCTTGCCTCTGCCCGGAGGAGTCACCCACAGCCAGAGCAGACTTTCAGTGCTTGGCCAGAGCTGCTGGTGGTGGCAATGAGAGCATTTCTTTGCTCACGAAAAGAGATCAGAAAGAAGACCTGAACCCACAAAGTCTCATTTCAGTGGGAGACTTGTCAGTGGATTTACCTGAGGAACCAGCAGATGTTAATCCAGGGCTGTGTGCCAGCCACTCTAACAGAACATTTTAAGTATACATGGAAGCTTTAAAAATTAATCCTTTAGTAACTTTTGTGAGACAAAGGTCAGCCAAAGTCTGCACAAGGCTGGTCACAGGCCAGAAGCAAATAGTATAAATCTGCTGGGGCTAACATCAAATTTACAAGAGATTTGCTGCCATCATGCCTGGGGCTGCCTAGCAGTCCTTGATGCCTGTGATTACAGTAGTGACAGGATTCACCTGCATCACTAGAGAAACACTTTGGCTTGTAAAAAGCACATCCCCACCCTAAAGTAGGAAAGTAATTAAATTAAAAAACCAAAACCACCACCCACATACACATAGAAAAATCCCAAATAGTAAAATAAGTAAAAATATAGGCAAGCTACAGAGAGAAATAGGAGAGAGAACAGACTACCTTTTGGGAATTAATCACTAGAATTAACTAGATGTCTGTCAAGCACTTTGACGATGGAAATCTAGAACATAGACCCAATACAGATGACCGGCAAAACTGCAAAGACTGGAAAGAGAGCAAGAGACAGAGACAAAGAAAGGGAAAAGTAGACAAAGTAGGAATCATCATTAGCAACTGGGTCGGTATGATTAATTGTAAAGAACACATTAAAAATTATGATCAAGGAACACAGTGGTTAAAAGGATTATCTAAGAGCATCAATAAAAACACCCTAGGGAAAGAAGGTAATTCTGAGGAATCCCTTGTACTATACTTACATTTATTTTGACTTCTACAACAGCTGCTAGTCCAAACGCCATCCCTGCAAGGATCATACCTGTTGCCATTTTCCTGATAGGTCTACAGAGCAAATGAAAGAGGTGCCATTAAGAAAAAAAAAGTAATTTAAAATATAGAATACCATCCCTCAGAGCCAAAGATGTGCCAAAACCATGTAATAAACTGTCCAACAGGTGGCACTGAGGATGACGTACTGTTTAAATTGCCAATCATTTTACTTAAAACTATTCTATTATTCTGTATGAGGCCAGCACTGAGGCCAATTAAAACTTATATGCCATGAAAAAAAAGCTCTTTGCTTGCAAGTTTCATATTATCTTGTTCCTAGCTCTACTAGTGGGAATAGCTCATGGCATTATGTTAACCTGTGATGTTGGAAGGAGCACTAGAAATTATATATCTTCAAGTCCCTTTTGGAAAAGGCAAAAGAAAAGTAGCATGCTATTTAGCAGCAGGAATGAGGAGCAGAAAAATGTGTAGTTTGTGTCATCAGTGTTTCTGACCATCTGTGGTATCATTCTGGGTTATTTCTCATGCCAATACATTTACATTTCTAGAGAATAAAGAGCTTGCTTCTGAACTTGGAGCAAAACTAGTGCAACTCTACCAGAGTTACATGAGATAATATGATATAAAGCAGAATAAAATAGGTCCAGAACAGCATGCCCAAAGGGACTAGCGGGTTGTTGAGATTTGAAACAACTCTGGTTCTAGATTCAGTGGTCTCCACTCTCTGTAATGGTCTGGATTCACATTCCACATTGACTGAGCTATAGAAAATCCAAATGAGGAACCCAAGTTCTGTCTCTTGGTTACATGCCCTGGGATAAGAAAATATTTACCTCTTGCAACTTGTACTACAAAAAATTGTTTTGATCTTCAGTCCTGTATTGGGATTTTATAGCACAAACTTTTGCAGCCACATAGGCTAATGTCCTTCAGGCTACAGTGTTTCCACAGACAGTTCTATAGCTAAACTAGATAGGAGCCTGTTCATATGCCACATTCAGGGGACAGAGACAGCACGGCATTCAGTCCTGATTGGTGCAGGAGTTCATGCTGCTGGGCAAACTAGTCTGTGAACTGGTCATCAGGCAGGACGTTTACTGTCAAGATAGGGCTCAGTCCAGGGAAGAGGCTCACACTGAGGTAGCATGGACAAGCACAGCTTCCATCACAGGGCTGGACAATGTCTTTAATATGTCTCTAGGTACAAGTAATTCAGCATGATGGGAAAGGATTGGCAGGGTGAAGGGGTAGGCTTCTGAGCTAGGCTTTCACCCCCATTTTATGTGGTTTTGTTTATCCAGCATTTTAGTTTGGATTAGGAACATGCTTTTTAACCCAATCTCCCACTCATCATCCCTTCCCACACTGTGGTTTACATTGAGAAGTGGTGCTGGAGTATGGAAACTTGGTTCCTTTCATCTGAAACCACACTGGCAAAGGCACTCCATGAGTGCATGTAACATGCTCCCACTGCTAAAGGGCATCAATCCACAGAGGCAGACTACAGATACTCTGAAGTAAAATCACCCAAAATGCATAAAGTGAGTCTCCGAACCAACCTGGATGTCTGCTCCTATTACACTGCACTTCTTACTAACACAGACCTGGGATAAAATGCTTGGGCCATATGGAAATCCCCATACATACTCACTGGTTCAGATCCTAGTGTGGAATCTGCTTTCACACCACCACATGTAGCCCACATGGGGCAGTGAATTTGGCTCCACAGGGACCTTTCAGGGAGAGAATTATTTAGGGGTGATGTAAGATATAAGGTGAAGAACATGCTGATAAATTCAAAGAGGGACTGTTCATATCTGCTTTTCAGGGGAAATCTGTACACAGCAGAATCCAACATCACTGAATTTTCCCCTCTGGAATTTCCAGGACCTATGGAAGAGGGTCATGATACCTCTTGGGGTTGAAGTGAAGGCAAATACTGAGAAGGATGAATGGAAATTTGTGTTCCTCCTCCTTAAAATCTATTCTGCATGCTTGCTAAAAAAGAAAAAGCACCAAGGCATCTGCATTGCCCCCATGTACTTACGTGAAATTAAATTTGCACATGTTTATGAGGGGGTAGAGCCCAAGGTCAAAAATTGGGATGAAGACAAGAATAAGAAGTGGATTTAAGAACTGCAATACAAAAGAATGGGAGTTTAGTGACTAGAAAGCAACTTTCAGTAATTAAACTCATAAAGCACTGTCCTCCAGAAATAATTCCATTACAGAAAGGACATGAACAAACACTTAAAACTCTGCTTTTAAAATATAATCATAGTTTGCACTTCGACAGCTCCTGCTATTTAGTTTTCACAGGCACGAATACATTTTGTTCATATCCTCCTCTCCAAGAGGTAAGCAAGCATCAGTGTACCACTTTCCCTGAAGAGAGAAGTGAAGCATTATGTTTTTAAAGAGTACAAAACCCACTGACAATAGAGGCAGGTGACCTTCAGTGCTGTGGTGGGACCTTACAACAAATCAGCAATAATGGAAACACCTTGGGACTTCAGCAAAATCCCAGGGGAACAGGCACTTTTCTGTGAGACTGGCAATTTCTTAGACTTCCACACAGCTTGGTAGTCCTCCTGGAACTAAATTTCTCCTGGGAGGGGCAGAGGTTGTCCGTCAGCCAGCAGTGGCAGAGCAAGGAAACAGAGTGACAGAGAATAAGCAGAGAGAAATACTGTTTCTGTTTTGAAGGAAGATTTCAGGGAACAGAACAGCTTTGAATTTCTCCACAGCTGTTCAGCATAAGAATTGTAATCAACTGTGACAACACGGTGTCTTCACATTTTCATCTGCCCTGCAGAAAGGGAGGAAGGAAACATATTTCAGGTACAACACTCATCCCAGCACAGGGGCATGTTAAAAGGAGACACAGCTTTTATCCTCCACATGCCAGCACTAGTTCAAGAACTATTATGTCATGTCTCCCCACATCTCTGCAGTATTCTGCAGGATTCAACCTCTGTGTTAGGACATCCTTAGGGTCTTAGCAACTTGCTGGTGAGCAATGAGGCAAAGTCCACACCACAGCAGTCAGCAGGAGCACTGCTATTACCTTCAAAAGGAGCAGAGAAAGGCTACTGGTCCCATGAGAAAAATAAAAATGAGAGAGAAAAAGATAATAAATTTCTGAGGGTTATTTCCTACCCTATAGTATCTTTTACCTGCATTTGGTCAGGCTGAAGGACATATATTCCCTGAAACAAAAAGATATTCCATGTGATTCATAAACACCATAACAGTACATATGGCAAATAAGCAAACAGTCCAGTAGAGGCCTTAGCAGCAAAGGTGGTTTACTCAAATACTTTACATTGGCTTTAGAAATTGATATTGTGCTCTTGACATTTGTTGTCTAAGGATACAGTGTTTGATGAGAATCATTTTGCAAAAGGAAGCTACAGTCAGCACTTGATATATGGCACCTGGGGGACAGCCTATGACAGGTACCAACACCCATCTTTCAGACTAGCTGAGCCATGAACTAGGTGAGTGGGGAGGAATGGGCAAATTATTGCCCAGGTTGGGATTTGGGCTTAAAGCTTCCTCCCTCCCTGCTTCTGTAATGGGAAAAGCCCAAATCCTACAAGTGAGTGGTCTCAAGCTTCAGGACCCTCTGAGCTCTGTTGGCATCTCTCCCAAGCACCCCAAAAGGATAACAAAATGTCATCCCCAGAGCACAACACCTCTTTCCTCCCTCCATCTGCCAAGGGCACCTAATGGGCTTTGGTCAGCTGTGACTTCTTGGTTTGAGCCAAGAGTCCTCCAGGATATTAGAGTTGCCTGACCTTGGCATCACTGTACCCAGCCCTCACAATCAGGCAAGGTCAAAAGGGATGGATGGAGGGATCCCAGTCCCCAAAAGGTACAAATGAGCTGTCTCCAGGGAGAGGCTGGTGTCTTTTTGAACTACAAGCAGTGCTTTTCATTTGTCATTAAGATGAAGGCTAAAGCCCTGATAGAATTAAATCTGGCCAGGAAAGGGCAGAAAACAAGCAAGAAAAGCTTCTCTAGGTATGACAGTGATAAATGGAAAACTAGGAAAAATGTGGACCCTCTCCAGAAGGAAATGGGAAACCTGGTTACCCGGGACATGGAGAAGGCTGAGGTACTCAACAATTTTCTGTTTCAGTCTTCACCAGCAAGGGCACCATCTACACTGCCCAAGTCACAGAAGACAAAGGCAGGAACTGGGAGAATGAAGAACCACTCACTGTAGAAGAAGATCAGGTTCGAGACCATCTAAGGAACCTGATCTGATGAGATGCATCTGTGGGTCTAGAGGGAACTGGCAGATGAAGGAGATAAGCAACTATATCCTTCACATTTGAGAAGTCATGGCAGTCTGGTGAAGTTCCCACTGACTGGAAAAGGGGAAACATAACCCCCATTTTTAAAAAGAGAAAAAAGAACTACATGCCAGTCAGTCTCATCTGTGTGCCCAGCAAGATCATGGAGTGGATCTTCTGGAAACTCTGCTAAGGCACATGGAAAATAAGGAGGTGATTGGTGACAGCCAACATGGCTTCACCAAGGGCAAACTGTACCTGACAAAATTGGTGGCCTTCTACGATGGGGTTAGAGCACTGGTGGATAAGGGAAGAGCAACTGACGTCATCTACCTGGACTTGTGCAAATCATTTGACAGTGTCCTGCACGACTTCCTAAATTGGAGAGACATGGATTTGATGGATGGACCCCTTGGTGGATAAGGAATTGGCTGGATGGTCACACTCAAGGAGTTGTGGTCAACAGCTCGATGTCCAAGTGGAGACCAGTGACGAGTGGTGTTCTGCAGGGGTTGGTGTTGGGACCAGCGCTGTTTAACATCTTTGTTGGCAACATGGACAGTGGGAGTGAGGGCACCCTCAGGTAGTTTGCCAACACCAAGCTGGAGGGAAGGGATGGCATCCAGAGGGACCTGGACAGGCTGGAGAGGTGGGACCATGCAAACCTCATCAAGTTCAACTAGGCCAAGTGCAAGGTCCTGCACATGGGTCGGGGCAATCCCAAGCACAAATACAGGCTGGGTGATGAGGGGATTGAGAGCAGCCCTGCGGAGAAGGACTTGGGGGTACTAGTGAATGGAAAACTGACTGTGAGCCAACAATATGTTCTCACAGCCCAGAAAGCCAACTGTATCCTGAGCTGCATCAAGAGAAGTGTGGGCAGCAGGTCGAGGGAGGGGATTCTCTTCCTCTATGCCCCTCTCATGAGACCTCACTTGCAGTGCTGTGTCCAGCTCCGGGGCCCCCAACATCAGAAGGACACAGACCTGCTTGAGCATGAAGATGGTCGGGGCTGGAGCAGCTCCCCTGTGAGGACAGGCTGAGAGTGTTGGAATTGTTCAGCCTGGAGAAGGGAAAGCTCTGGGGAGACCTTGTAGCAGCCTCCCGGTACTTAAAGGGGCTACAGGAAAGATGGGGATGGGACTCTTTATCAGAGAATGCAGTGATGGGATGAGGGGTAATGGTTTTAAACTGACAGAGGGAAGATTTAGATTAGATCTAAAGAAATTCTTTATTGTGAGGGTGGTGAGGCACTGGCACAGGTTGCCCAGAGAAGCTGTGGCTGCCCCCTCCCTGGCAGTGATCAAGGCCAGGTTGGACGGGGCTTTGAGCAACCTGGGCTAGTGAAAGGTGTTCCTGCCCATGGCAGGGGGTTGGAACTGGATGATCTTTAAGGTCCCTTCCAACCCAAACCACTCTATGATTCTATGAAGAGAAGAGGGGGAAATTGAGGAAGGAAATAATATCTTTCCAAGAAAGTACTGTGGGGGTTTGTCTCCTGTCTGCCAGGCTTGTCTTGACCTGAATCTAGAATGGCTGCCTGTCTCTGTGGCAGCTGCCTCCTGGGAGAGTGGAAACCACTGGTCACAGCAGAGGAGACTGTCATTCAAAAGTATCAGGCAAATAAAAGTATCACTCTCCTGCTACTTTGTGCACACTATACAAATGTGACATTAGGAAACAAGCCTGCAAATATTTCATCTCACACTAAATCATTCCCTGTTTATCTTTGGACTTCCTCACTGAGCCCTTTGTCTGCAGAAGGGAAAAGCATGGAATATTACAAGCATGAACTCCAGCAAGCCTACTGGTGGGATCACCCCAGTGTTGTAATTAATTCTCACCTTCATGAGTTAGGACAACTCACCAGTGGAAACACAAGCCAAAAACCTATCCAAATTGCTGTGACAAAAAAAGCCCTCAATATGTCCTTCTCCACCAGGAAGAGTTTAATAAGTGACACCTGGTGATCCTTAAATCTGCTAATAGATCACCAAGTGCATGTACTGTACAGCAGAAAACAGTTTTCAGATACACATCACGAAGACTGTGTGAACTTTCATGGTTTTGTCTTTCTGAGATGGATAAATATTACTCAAGGTATAGTCTTCTTCATGTCTCATCTGAATTATGTAAGCCTAATGAGTATCACATGCTGAGAGCCCAATTTTTAACAGGAGTGACATAGTACAGCTCAAAGTTTGGGCCTTAAGTCAATTTTAAACTGGAAAATGTGCTTTTACAATCCTAAATTGTGATGTAAGCATCCACAGGTAAGATCTAGGTGGCCTGTTAAAACATGTCTGGAAACCAGCCTTGTATGGTGGAATTTTTAGGCAAATAGCTGATCCACATTTATCTGCCACTGCACCCTGCACCATTTGCCATTCACATCTTTCAAGACCTTTATGGCTACTAACTAATTAATCCTCATCACATCTCTACCCTATACACAAGATTCCTGCTGGTTTTGAGAGACTTCATTAATGTATCACCAAGTAAGCCAGAGGAGAAATATACAACTACAATAACTCTAGTTATATCTTACAAGGCCTGTGTGAACTTTCTGACTTCTCTGTCTTCAGTGGGGGTAGCAGGCTGGAAACCCTGCCTGCTCAAGGTCACAGAGTGACCAGCTGCCAGTAGGTCAGCACTCCTGTCCATCAGCAGGCTTCTGATGACTCCCCAGACTCACTTCTTGCCAAGATGTGCTGTGATGACTTGAACATAACTGCACAGAGACTTTCGCTTTGCTTCTAATCACCAGAAGTGCAACTCACCCAGACTCGTCAAGCAGATGCTCTTAGTACTGCGAGACTCCAGTTAAAAAGCAAGAGCAGTGATGTTACTACTAGTCTTACCAGCCCTGGTGACATTAAGTACTTACAAAATCAGCATTCATTTTTGTGGCTTGCAAAGTCCACCTGGATCCCTAAGGAGAAAACAGACAGCTGTGAAGCCTTTCAAGATGTCCTACAGGACTAGAAAACATGGGGACAGAGAAGGTGACAGTGCTGGAGGTCTTGTTTCCCATCTATTCCTTCCCTTCTCTGAAACACCTGCCAGGAGGCAGGGCACATTCTCCCTTCTCACCCTCCTGTGCCAGACACCTGGCAGGACTGCAAAGGGATGGCCAGCAGTGATGGTGGGTACTGCCTTAGCAAGCCCCCGGACACCCAGTAGGAGTGTGGTGCTCTGCATCCCCAGGATGCTTCGGTGTTACCCTGGAAGGACAAGGGTGCAAACGCAGTCCAGCAGGCAGACCTGCAATGCACTGTACTATACCTGCTGATCAAACAGGGCCCAGAACATTGGCAGCGGTATGAAGAGGAAGAGGACACGTGTCACCATTTTAACCTCCCCAATCAGCTGTTTCTATAAAGGAATAGGCAAAAAGGTAAGATGGCAGTGAAAAGCCAGCAGGTGATTCAAGCCACAAAGCATGGGAGCTCCTATTTATTTCTACATGGCAGTTATTTATTGCACTTATTCATATTGGACATATTTGCATTTCTGCATTTCAGTGCAGCACCTAAACTGTCCATTAAGGGTCAGGAGAGTACAGATGTGGGAAGGGACAGGACAAACGAGAACCCTGTGCATGTGAGGAGTGGTGTGGCCAGGCCAGTATTACTGTCTCCCCTGTCTGTCTGCCCGTCTGCCCCCTTCCCCTTCCAAACCTGCCAGGTAGACCATCACTTACCGAGTATTTTTCTGATGCCCAGTCCAGCCAGTGATCTCGCTTTGGAATCTGAGGGGACCGGTTTTTCAGCCGGTTTTTAATAGCAAACTAGGGAGAAAAATAGGTGAGTAACTCCCTAGTGGCATATCTGTCCTTGTCACATTCTCAACTCAAGGCTGCCCTCCTCATCCCCAAATGTGAGCCACACCAGAAAATTGTGGGGGTTTTGCCAGACGCTTCCAAAATCTTGTATTGGATGCTTTATGACCAATTCTCGGCAGGGAAGTTTCTGTGACATTGGTTGATTAAAGTTATGATGTGGGAATGAACTACTTCACAGGCTTGTCTTTTAGAGACAAATCTGACATAAGCCCTCAAAGACTGTTTCATGATTGATTTCAAACCTGCTACATGTTAAAGCTTTAAACATAATTTCTTCAGTTCGCTCCCAAAAAACCACCTGTCTGACCACTGTGCTGGGGATGAAATGCGTAGCTATCCAGTGTTAAAACCAAAACTCTCATTCCCTTCTTGTTCTGCAGAACTTTCTTTTCATATTCCTGGTGCAGCCCATGCCTCATTCACTCCTAGACCAGCTTTCAAGTTGGTTTCTCACTGGAGGAGAAATCAGTAACACCTGATTTCTAACTCATTTGTTTAGGCTGTGTGCTCCAGTCACTGAACACACTGAACAGTCACCCTGGCAAAAAGAGGGACAGACCTCACTTTGAAATCTTATCTTTAAGATCTGGACTGGTTTCCCAAGGTAAATCTGTTACTAGGACTGAGCTAGATAAAAAGAAAGCATCTGCTGTTAGCAAGAGCTTCCTGAAAAAGAAACATCATTATCCACCTAATAATAAGAGAGTATTTTTTCACATACTATATTCAGCTCACACACTATAAAAAATAATTGATAAGACTATATATAATGCAACTTCAGCAGGTGTCTCTTTCATTTACATGAACATGCTGAATGTGCATAATATGAATGTGTACTATTACTGTCTGCTGAACTGATAAACTTCAGTAAAATAAATCAGCTGGAAAAAAAAGAGTCATATATCTGATACTGTGTGAGTTTCTGTATTTTCCTTTCAGTGCAGTCTCCATCAGCATTTGCCACTAGTGACATCAACTGAACAGTTCATGAAGCTAAGAAAAAACTGAAATATTGAAAGAATAAACTAGAACCTAAATGTCTTATTTCTTAGAGCTCATCAGCAAGATATCCAGGAGCAGCATACAGAACTCCAAATGTCACCTCCTCTTTCCCTTTGCACTTTTCTGACCTGCAATCTCAGAGTCATGTATGAATAAAGAGAGAATGGCATACACTTACACCAATGCATTTGCACACTTCCAGCAAAACATTCCCTTGTGGTGGCGTTTTTCTGTACAGTCCACTTCCAGCAATGAACACAACTGAAAAATATTATAATCCAAATGGGAATTCACATGACTGAGGCTCAATCCTGCACTGGCTTCTAGGAAGGACACCCCACCCCTGCATTCAGCAGAAATCCTCTGCCCTTGGGACTTACAGGATGGCACTTTTAACAAAATAAAGGCCTCCTTTAATGCCTTCAGATGGAAGAAAATGCAACACCTTGCATGAGGCAGTGTTATCCCTAGGAAGTCACCAACATTTTATAATCTGCTCTGCAACAGGCACCTCCACATCTGATTCATGCTAGAAATGAAAGCTTTGAAAATTCCCTCCATCTATGCTTTTTGTAGGCTAAACATAAAATATAATCTGCACTGAATTGCTACACCTGATATTGGAAATCAGACCTGACTCATTGCAACCATGTAAGGATTAATCCAGATCCAACACAGGTTCTGTGTACTTGCATCTCACACACATTTGAATGGAAACTGCCATGAAGGTCACTGTATCACATACTGGTGTTAACAGAAATTACCTCAATTTATGGTTTCCATAAAGGGATATACAACTTAAGATATTGTTTTGTCTTCATTTCTCCCTCAAAGCACAAAGAATATTGGACTGAGGCTTCAAAATCCTGTCAGAGACGGAGCTATATGATTAAATATCATTTGTCCTGCTCTTTGAGAGCCTCTGAGCACACCGCAATTCCAAAGATGTTAGTAGGGAGAAGCACAATAGAAGCTGTGCGTGAAATCCTTGTAACAAACTACCTTCAACTTTTTTAACTAACCCAATTGTCTCCACAGCCAGTGGAGAAAAGCAAGCACTGCAGGGAACTTGCCATTTCTCTTTTCTGACTATGAAGACCCTTCACATCCAGTTTTAACTTGCAGAACTGTCTGAGAGACCTCTGAAGTCAGTTTGGTTGAGTTGCACTGAAAGACACCTGTCCAAAGACACTGAGAGTGGGTAGTTGCACTCCCTAATTTTTAGCAGCTCCTTGTTGGTGCCTCTAAAAGGTGACTTTAGGTTTGCTGAAATATCTTCTGGCAATGCCATTGACTCCTTTGGGAACTGAAGTTCTTCTTACTCTATGAGATTTCCATTCTGCCTCTAAATCAACCCTTGTTTTCCATCATCATGGGGAGCAGGCCAGTCAGGGTTGAAATGGTATTTTCTCCAGTTCTGCATGGTGCTCATATAGTCAACTATATCAATTCCAAGAGCATTTTAGCATGTTACAAAAGTACACATTGCTGCTTTGCCAGGAATCTGGCAGCTGGACACTAGCTAAAAACACATTTCGATTGATGCCTTCACTGAAACTGCAAAATTTACACATCCATTTTCCCCTGGGCAACTACTACTCTGCTAGAAACATTCATCACACAATGGTGCACAGAGGAGCATGTGCTGCCTTAAACTGATAGGAACAGGCCACAGGGGAAAAAGAGAAGCTTCTCGGGCCCGTGACCATGCAATTTTTTGAAAATAATTGCTGTAACATTAGCTGTGGCCTGATGACATCTCTCCAGTGTCCTGATTCCTCTCTCTGATGGAAACTTGAGGGGAGAGAGCAATATTAACATTCTCTGGGGGACAAACCTTTCAAATCACAGATGCTGTGGTGAAATCACACAATTGCCTGGCCTCTCAATTAAGCTAACAAGCTGAATGAGAAGTCACCCCATGCTGTGTCAAAACCTCTCAAATGCAACATAATAAGGGGACTGCTCCCCTCAGCAGCCTGCAACTGTGAAACTAAGGCTAATGGGGTGTCCTCTGTATTGGCTACCAAGGAGTAACAGTAAGAATGTGGAAATTGCTGAGTGTTTTATAAGGGTTGAAGAAGAAATCTTGACAAGTACATTAATGGGGCTAAGATGCAAGCTTTAGGAAGCAGGGTGATTGCGGCTGTCTCCTGACACTTGGACAATAAGAGCTTTTTATTGCAACATAATAATAAGTTGTCACTGTAATTGTGGGAATTACTTCAGCCAGGCAAACTGAGACAGAGCTCAGAATAAAGTAATATCTTGTTCAGCTCCTTCCACGATTTCTGTGGAGCACAGATTCTGAAGCAAAAGTCTGAGCCATTAAAGATGTCCCCAAGCTGCAAAGAACCTGTGGAAAGGTTAGAAGTGGCATGCTAAGCTTCTCTTCTATGAGCTGGGGATCTCTGAAGACTGCTCAGATTGCAGGTCAAAGGCCAAGTCTGCTCATAGGCAAAGCTGTAAGCCATCAGGAGAATCATTCTGGTGTCTCCCTTTGCTTTACAGAGCAAGACAATTGTATTGTGAAACATCCACCAGACCACCCTCTCATCATCGTAAAGGATTGCAGTAAAACCATGGTCTGCCTATCTCTCAGTGAACTAGTGATTTTTCTTGCTGTTTGGAACTGTGGAATTGTTGGATGACTTTGAACCCTTGAGTTTCCCATTGCAGTATTCATCCAGAGCAAGTGAATTCGTGCATTTTCTCATCTATCCATGAACTCAAAAATGGTAACTCCTATTACAAGCATTACTGCTTCCACTCACCAAGTGCCAACACCATCAGTGCTGCTGGGACACCAAAAGCCAGGGCATAACAATCCTCTCCAAAACATTTCACATCCCCTGAAAAAGAAATCAGAAATAAAAGCACCTCATTACAGTCAGACTTATGTTACTGGGGCCTTTGATTTGCTTTCCCTAAAACAGTCACTTCCCCTGGCTTTAAATCTTCTTTGCTGGTGCTTGACACTGTGAATTGAATCTCCTTGAAACAGTTGTCCTCCCTTGCTGAAGACAATTTGGAAGCAGGGTTAGTGGCTGCCAGGAAGAGCAGCTGAAAATGGGATATTGATGAGAATATTAGAAGGAAGGGGGCAGACAAATATAGGTAGAAAGAAGTAGTAGGAACTGTAACTGGGAAAAAACCCACAACATTTAAAATAACCTGGTCATTCTGTATTTGCCTAGATCTAAATAACCAATACTGTGTTTCCGCCTTATTTGTGCCAGCTACATGAGCTATTGAGTCAAAAGCCTGAATCTGATTTCATAGCACCCTATAGTGGACAAAGTGGAAGCCAATACCCCTACTATATAAGTGGGAGTACAGGATTAGTCTTAAAATTCCAGTTCCTTTTCTCGCCACCTTCCCAATCTCACTAGAGGAAGCCTGCTCCAAATGTCAAGTCTTGCAGTAACCCACCAGGAAGCCAGGTTTGTTACAGCATGGTTTTGAGCGACCTGAGCTATGGCTCACTGAAACCCTGTGCCTCTTGGACCAGGGCAATTCTAGCACCATGTGACTTTAGAGGTCCAGTTGGAAGGAGCAAGCCGGCAGTGGGGTCTATGTTTGTATGCCAGTGGCTACAAATTACCGCAATCTTACATGGAGTAATAACAAAATGGCTAAAATAAGCTAAGCTGGTTAACAGGAAACCAACCCATGAAGCCTTCAGTTGTTCCTGTTTGTTGTCCCTAGGCAGTCATGGTCAGCTGCACAGCTGTGTGCATGCATAGCATTTATTTACTTATTTTCAGCAAATTAGCTGAAATACAGCAAAACTGGCAGTGAGACATTATGGGCACACTGAATTTTTAACATGCAAAATGAGTTGGACTTTTCCACCTAAAAGTATATATTCCACATTTCTGCCAAATGTCTATGAACTGTATTCCTTGCTCTTCCAAGAAAAGCTTTCACAATTAGCAAAAATGATATTCTTTCCCCATACTCTCCACCTCATTTCCATGTTGCAACTACTTTATTGCTAGGCTATATTGGCACAGGTTTTGATGTTCAAAGGGGACTGGATTTTCATCTGTCCACTAACTACATTGAGCAAAAGCCCCTTTCCCAACAGAATGCTGACCTGGGGACACCAGTGAGAGAAAGAGCAAGAAATATAGCATTTGTCTTTGCCCGTACACATGGTGTAAATATGAGACAAGCACAATTGCCCACAGCCTTGTGAAATGAACGGCCTGTTAACATAACCACTCTGAACAAAGAAAGCTTCCTAGAGGCCATGGGATGGAATGAAAAAAATTGCTACTAAAAGCAAAGTCTACCTTGTCCCTGTCCCCATCCCAATCGCCTATGGCCTGCTGCTCTGCTTCTGTGTCTGTATTTAGAGCATGCCAATCCTCTTGGCTTCTAGGCACTGTGATACAATGAAGTGCAGCAAGACTCGGGGACTAAAAGGGGTTGTGTGAGCTGGCTAGAATGTAAAGTAGGTCTTAAATGGGACATAGGCCTGTGCTTTGTCTTCAAGGTTAGTTGCTCAGGGCCACAGTCGTGCAAGCAGACCCATGCAGACAAGCCTGGGTGCCAGGACAGAGCCCTCCAGAAGTCAGCCCTCCAGCACCCTGTGGAAGGGAGAAGGTAGGACTTCAAAACCAGCCCTGCTAAATTTTTTGGCCTTGACACTTGCTCAGGACATCAGAGATCAATTCCCATCTGCAGGTTACTGACAGGCAAGATGAGGGAATAATCCTTTGCTGGCAATGGGAAGAATTAGATAACTATATAGGTCCTTCCACCTTCCATATTTTAATTCTACATTTCAGACTGCCTTTGAAATACAACTGGGAATACAGTTTCTGTGACTTGTCTGCTAGTACTATAAGTCTGTTACGCTGCTACAGCCGGATTAACAAGGCGTAAATGCAATACACTGGCCACTCCACAGATAATATAATTTCTGCCATTCAGTTGTCATAAGAGCCTAACTATGCACAGCAGAGTAGTCCGAGGGCAGCTAATTTATTGTCTTATTCTAAATCAACACTGACCTCTTAATACAGGAGTTACAAACGTGGAGATCAAACTTCCAGCATTAATGGATAAATAGAAGATGGAAAAAAACTTGTTTCTCTCCGAGGTCTAAAACAAGAGAAGACAATATCAATGTCACGGCTAATGCACATCACTGGGCTTGCAAAGTGAACACTATCAATTCTCTCGTTAAGAAGGCTGGGTAAATATTGACATGTAATGCATAAAATGTTAAGCAAACAAGCTTGCATTCAGGTGATGGTAAATGCTCACACAAATCAACTCACGTTACTTGAGGAGTGCTTTGGGGCTTTTTGGCATTTCAGAGGAAAAGCCACTGCTTTGAGAGTGTTGTGAGATTGGAAGGAGGAGAGCATTTACTGATTCAGAACAAGTAGCATGATTCAGATCCTCTGTCACCTAATTCAATCCAATTTGGCACAGTTTGACAAGCTCATCATTTCTTCCCATGTCTGAGCTCTTTTTTTTTTTTTTTTTCTCCCCTCCTCTCCTGTGTAGAAATAGAAAAAGAAACCTGTGTATTTTGAGGAGCTGGTAATGACAGCATAGATGAGAGAGTGCTAGCAAATGAGAGGTATCCATCAAACAAGAGATTACCAAACTGAGGCCAGTCAACCTCAAACTAAGAGGGTAAATTAAATCTAGGGGAGCAAATTCAAGAACATGATGTAGGGATGAACTCTAAGAAAGACTTCAGAATTTAACTGATGTTGTAACATATTATAGTTCATATAGTCAAAGGATTCCTGTTGATCTTCTTTCTTCCTGCATAATTCATAATTTGGAAGGAATCAAGAACTTGATGGAGTTTGGTTCTTTTTGCAAGAGTAGCATGTAAGGGCACGCAACAAAGAGCAGTCTGTTTTTGCTTTGGGGGAGACATACATGCACAGTCTCATGCAGACATACAGTGGTAAACCTCCTCCCTGTGCCTGGGTGGACCAGCAGAGTGGAGAAAGAAGAGCAGGCTACCTGACCTACCCCATGCTCATCTGCATTGCCAGCTATGGGACACCTGAGTCAGTGAAACCAGCATTTAAGGACAGTCCAAGCAGCCAAAATACTCCATACATATCTAGGCTTCGCTCCCATCTGTCACCAGGTCCTGTAAAGGTAGTGGGCAAATTGTTTGGGACATGGCTTAATGCCTGGCAGAGAGCTCCTTAGAGCACCTTCAGCCACATCTCTATGACCTGAGCATCATTTGAACGCAAAGCCTTAACTTAGCTGACTGTGAGGAAGTTCCTCAGGGGCCTGGTTCTATCCTCTCTCCTAACACGTCCTGCTTCCTTCTGCTCCCTGAGACAATATTCATAAGGCTAGAAAACAGGAGAAAAGGTGAAGAATTGCCAGCAGCTAAAAGAGGACAGCTCTTAAGGATTGAACCCTGGGATCCAAAAATGTAACAAAACTTTCCATAACTGATGGCACAGTCAACAGGAAATACTGCTGCTTCATACAGCAAGAAGCCTCTTATCACAGGGGTTTACTGCAAGGAAGGTGGGCAGGTGGGAGGGCATGGGAGGACTTTTCTTTATGTCCCCTTGTGAAGTGGGTGCTGGGAAGGTGAGAGTGAGAACCCCATTGCTTCCCACTGCCACCCACCAAGGAGTCTGGGGGTCCTCTCACTCAGATTAAGGGCTTTTTTTGCCTTGACCCAGCACAGTTATGAAGACCCCATCAACATGAGCTTGGGCTCCATCGTAATTTTTTATTTCCGAGCGTCCCAGGCAATCTAATCCATACATTACTTGTAAATGATTTATCCTGGATTAAAGGATTAATAAATCTTATAATAATTATCTCTATGGAATGTTCCCATGGTTAATAGCAAATAGCACTGGGTCTTACTATCTCTTATACTCCATTTCTGTCCTTACCAGTGGCTTTGATTACCTGGAACTTTCTAATGTTAAGCTAGTAAAAGTATATATTTTCTTCCTCATTTTACCTTTGTGACTAGTTATTTGTCATCATAAGGAAATCTAGAAAAATGAGAAGACTCAGCATTCTCTCCTGCTCCCAGAGTAGCCCGGCCATGGCTTGACAGAGGTGGTGCAGTAAGGTCCTCACAGTCCTGCCCCCTTCTAGTCAAATTCTCATGTCATTTCTCTAACCCTTCATATCTGAGCAACTCAGAATTTCTGACAGCTGAGAAAAACTCAAGCATGCAGCTCTTGACATGATAAAGTCTAGAGCAACAGTTAGCAAAAAGAATGTTCTAGTAAGAGAAGAGGATAGTGATGCACAAAGAATTTGGGGCATCTTATTTCACACATTTACAGATTTCAGTGATGGAAAAAAAATGGTCAAAGAAAAGCAGAAGTGAGTACAAATATAATGACCCAGCAGCTTGCAAATTACACTGATTGAGAAAAAGAATTCCGTCCCTATTTTCTTAATATTTGGAGCAGACGTACATTAACAACATGATTTGGATTAGCTAATTTGAGAAAAGTTAGCATACACAACAATCCTGATCTCCTTGGCAACCAGAAAATAAAGAAACAAAGAGAAAGCTATTTAATACCTTAAACACCATATCACACTGTTTGAAAGCAGCTTTGGTCCCTAATTAATATGCACAACAGCCTTCGCATTCATATAACATGTCTTAAATATAATTTTCTTCAGGCCTTTTTAGCTTGGACTCCTAATCCCGTAGACAAAGATGCTTGGAAATCTCCTGTAGATAAATTTACTTTCCTTACTGACCTGCTGATCAGTCTCCATCATTGTTTGTAGTTGTACTGTTCTCAAAGTGACAGATCCAAGACTATTACAGTCATAAAGTACTTAAAAGAAAACCAGACTGATGGTGTGCATTTACCTCAAAACATAAATTTGTCTCTATGTGGAAATAACAGCGGCAGTTTACTTATTCATTTTATGTACAGAACTACCACATCCCTAGTTTTCAGATGGAACCACTAAACCTGTGCACTTAAGAGGTCAGCTGAAGTTTACTGGTGTCCTGAAAACTAAAGGGGAATCAAATGCTTCATTTCATTGGGAATTTTCAAAAGTCATTTCATCCTACCTGGAGTGGAAGACGAAAAATGTCTTCTCAAACACCTCTCTGGAGGGGAGAATTATTCTGGTTGGCCGCAAACCTTTCATTCCTTACAAAACCAAAACTTCTAATTCAAATTTTGAAGACTTAAATTTCCTATCACATAGCATAAAACATTTTTCTTCTGAAAGGCCAAGTCATTTCAAAATAGTAAAATACAAAACTTCCTCTTCTGAAAAGGATGAATAGAGCAGAACACATTGTCCTTATCAGAAGGCTTTTTATAGTTTTCTTTCTCTAAATTAGTTTTTCTTGAAGGCAACACACAGGTGAATGTTTGAGCCTTAGTATTTGATAAATTTGTTGGAGAGGTGTAGCCTGAATGCTGGAGAATGGGTACAGACCCACACAACCACAGAGAGTTCAGGTTTCTCTCTGTAACTTAGTTGTGGTTGTAAATTTAGGATAATAATATGTATGTGCCTGACTGGGGTGCTGAGATTCATTAGCTGAAGTCTATAAAACACTCTGAAGATAAGTGGTACATATTATCATACTGTAATTAGGTGGTAATTGAAAGATGCTGGATAAACATTATTAATCATTAATATTCATAGAAGTAGAACTTCTGAAAACGCTGCTGTAACACCTGTCAGAATCCTTTTGGGAGAACTATTGGCACTGCAGGCTGGGATGCCCACATGCAGCGTATTCCCAGAGCGTGTGTGCTGTACTGCCAGACTGCTTTTGGTCAGAGCTGTGCCAACGGGGGAGGCTGGTGGCACCAGATGATTGCTGCTCCCTCCTCTGCAGCATCCTCTAAAGCATCAGGTCCAACTGACAGCACAGGATGGACGTGCTTGCAGGAGGATCTTCTTTGAACAAGTGACCATGAAACATCCTGTGCTTTGTTACTTCTAACTAACCATAATTTTCATCACTTCAGTATCACACAGTTCACGTGCAAAAAGCACAAGTCTTCCCAAAATTTTAAAATAAACATTCTAGCCTATATTATTAATTCATTAAATGCTGACTATGTGCTGGAGCATGGCAAAAACCAGAAAACTGCCCTTCCATCCCTTGTCCAACTCTACCAGTGCCTTTCCTGACAGACCATTAGTCTAATGTCCCTCTTCAATGCCTCTACTGATGGGAGTTTCCATCTCCCAAAGGTCCTAATGTTTTCCAGTACTTCTCTAGATCTATTTCTGGAAAATTTCTCCTACTGTCAGTCCTAAATAATCCTCCTTGTATTGAAGCCTACTCATCACAGACCCCAATCCTTATTCCCCTTCCTGTAGCAGTGGCCTTCTACGTATTTGAGGACAGAATTTGATGTGATTTGACATGATTTGAATGCTGTCATTGAGAAAACTGAAATGTTTATTTGTGTGTTAGGTCAACATAAATATAAGTGTTTAATTTCAGGTCAATTTGAAAATTATGCATTTTGCCTAAGGATTAGTACTTCCTAACCTGCTTTGCTTCTTTAAGCACTGTCTTACCCCTGGGTTGAGCCACTGTGCTGCATAATGGGAGTTTGAAAACAGCATTGGAGAGGGGCTAAGCACTCATGATAGAGAATGAGGACATGAAACAACTGGACTACAATTCACAGGATGCAGAGCACAAACAGCTGAAAAGAAATATTTTCATAACTTTTCAAAAGTTTCCATTCTGGAATATCTAGAAAACACATTCTGGGTAGATATGGTACCAGTGACTGGAATTTCCCACAGTTCTTTCTGAACAACATCTAAGACACAGACTATGACTTGATTTGAGGGAAAATTCACAAGGAAGGCTGGTGATACAATTTTTTATTTACTGCATTCCATTGCAGTGCATTATAATCGCCCCTGTTAAACTGGTTCAGAAATGGCCACAGTTCCATGATACAGGATATTCCAACTAGTCTGACATCCAATTAACACTGCCGTGATGTAGTGCAATTATGACCTAGCCTTCCTGATATCAGACCTGTTTCTGCTGTCATTTTCCGTCCTGAAGCATCCAGATTCTCTACAGTTTTATGCAAACCATCCTACCTCACATCTTATTACACCTTTTCCTAGCAAACTGGTCCTTATTCTAGTACAACAGGATTTAATCACAAACATCCTCATAAAGTAAGCAGATACTTCAGATTTTAGGAAAGAAAAGAAATCTTACATGTTCCTCTTCAAACTGGTCCCCACCAAATGCAGAGACACAGGGCTTGATACCTCCCGTTCCAAGGGCGATCAAAAACAGACCAACCATAGACAGGATCCTTCATACAAGAACAAAAATATCACCATTGCAGAACCTTTCCAGTGCTTATGAGAGCATTTTAGTGTCACCCAACCACGATTCCTCTGGTATCATTGTCTTTTGCACATGTGTAGTGATGATGAGTCAGATAAGTGTGAAAAACAAATTAATTATCCTCATTTCTGCATTCAGTACCAGTCAATTAACCAAACTGCTTTTGTCAGTTTCTTGCTGTTCTGAGGCCCAATGGACATACTAGAGATCAAAGATCCGTGGGATTATTTTTCACTCATAGGAGAACAAAAGACTGCAGAGATCAATTGAGAAAAAGAAAAGAAAAAAAAAGAGGAAAGAATAAAAGCTTTTTCCTGTAGCCTTCGAGCCTGAGTAAGTGCAGACAAACTGCATGAATTTGTTTGAATTAGGCTCACTCTTGGGTGCTTTCTAACCTCCAGTGCTCCTCAAAATACCATTGTTGGCCCAACAGATTACGTCTGTAGGGAACAGGAGTGTCAGGACTGGCCAGGTCTGGGACAAAAGGAAACTGTTCTGTAAATGAGATATGCTTCTGCCTGCACGTGCATCTTTTTGAAGTTGTGATCACCTAGGCAAAAATAGTTTGGTGGTTTCAGAGATGTGAACCGACAAGCCTATTGGTTCAGAATCTAGAGGACAAGAAGCTTTGTACCCTATGGAAGAGACAGACTTGCTCTGTCACATCAGAAAATGTATCTTTGGTTTTGTGTTCCCATGCACACAGGCGAGCCTTGCTGAGCTGGACAAGTATGCTCATGAGGAAATGAGGGAGGAATGAACCTGGTGCAGGCATTTGGATGGAGGAGACCAAACTCCAGTAGCATGGTATAGCAGAGAGGGGTGATCAGAGGTCCCTATCTCAAAGGGCTTAGTGTCTCTGTGGTAGTTTCCAACTCCTTCTGTGCATTCACTCTAGATCCATCCTTCTGTTCTTACTCAAATATCCCAAACCTTCCCTGATAAAAGCAACCCATGCACAGCCCCCAGACTGCTGGCCTGATGGAGGTGAAACAAATTACAGCCCTGGGAAAACCAACTACCATCACAACCTACTACAGTGCTCTGGCTTCAACAGCTACTTACACATGAACTGCCTGGTTGCCTAGGGATGGAATTGCACCGACTGACTTTATCAGATGGCCAACCACATACACAATGGAGAGGTAGATGATCGTCCTGTGAGGAAAGCAAACAGCAGTGAGTGAAGGTGCTGGGTGATGTACGATCTGAAAACAGAGTCTGCCTGTGCTTCCTGATATGGCAGGTCTACTTGACAGACACACAAGGAACTGGTTTGTTCATATCACTGGTATAGTGGGCAGCTATAACTCTCTTGTGTCAATAGCAAGTGCACTGGAAGAAAGACATAGGCAAATGGGTTCAGACTGAGGAAGGAGAGCCCCTGCTTTCTTTGCAGAGGATGTTGAGCAGAATAAACTAAAAATGTTCCAGTCTTGTCATGCACGGAAGACTGCAAATAGGAAAGTACTGTTCAGGTCCAACTTGGTTCCCAGATTACTAATAACTGGCATTTTATAGCATGTACTTAAGTGAATCCCTTGACTGGAAGGCATCTACAGGGACTGCTGCCTACATTCAACCTGCCTGACCAATTAGGCGTGTGGTTTCCCCATTACAAGTCTGGTTTAGATCCCAAGTACCTCTGAAGGACTGAGCTCATCTATCTGCCTCTCATGTCTTGGCGAGGGACAAGAAATCTGACTAAGAGCATCAGGCTCTTGAGTGTATTCTATTCCTTCAACACCTTCAGGACTAAGAGATGTCTATGTATTTATTTGCAGACTAGACACACAAAGAGGGAATGAAGGACTTGTTAGGACAGACACACTAGAAGCAGCCCTATGAGCTTGGAGTAGGGAAGTGGTCCTCAACACATCCAAACACTGGTTGCAACAGCTAATTTAGAGCCACATTGGATCATTCCTAAAAGCCCCTCTGATCTATTATCCTGTTCTTCGTATCGACCAGGGTCCAGCTACTACAGCAAAAGCCACCTCCCATTAAGTCACAGGGATTACTCCAGGGAAGGTCTCCCCTGCCTAAAGCACAAAAGTCCACCTAAGGATTTACCTTCTCACAATATCATGCTGCAAGATAGATATCCTCAAATACTAATAAACATTGCTAGGTGACCTTAAAAAGCCAAGTTAATAAACCCCCACTGTTATTTTTTTTATTTAAAGGGACAAGAGAATGACTAAAACTGAGTACAAAGAAAAAATAGCATTGATATCTCCTCAAGAACTTTCTGCTGGAAAGGCATATGGCAGCTGTTTTTTCCCTGTTGGGACTCTCCTGCCAGATGTGCTTAGTCCTAGAAAGAAGGGTTCAGCTGCAGTTCATCACTCTGACAGCCAGGACTCCTCAGACAACAAAAAAACATTGTCAAGCAAAGAAAGTCCTATATCCAGTTGCTCACCACCATTCTGGGGCAGATGATGGCCCCACAACTTATCAGTGGAAGGGATGACTGCCTAATTTACTCAGGGAAATTTTACCTTGTTATATGCTGAGGAGATGATTTGAGTGAACCCAGGTTTCTCTGGCATAAAAATGGGTGTGCTCACATATTCCCTGTGCTGTGAAAGCATAAGTATGTATAGTATAGTTAGTGACATTTCATCTGAAACTGCGATATCTAGAGGACAACACTGCTTCCTTACCATCTCTGAATCCTTTTCAGAAGCAGATCTTGGCAAGCTGAAGGGTTAATCACCCTCAGCTTCCTCAAGGTGGGTAAGGAAGAATAGTGGAGGAAAAGCATGCTTGTGACATTTAATTTGTTCCAACTTTGTTGTCTGTTGGCCCTTGGGTGAAAGAGGAGCACAGAACAGCATAAGCAAACAGCTCAGCTATTCATCTGTTAACAGAGAGAAGCTGACCTTCGCAAGCATGTGTTTGCTGCACTCTGAGCTAGCTCAAAACTGGGAGCACACACAGCACTGCCCTTGCACAGGCTGCATGCTGTAGATGTATGCTGCCTGAATTAGAGAGATGTCTTCACTTACTTGTATTTCCCCAGCCATGAGTCTGCCATGATGGCTCCAATGACAGGTGTGAAATAACATAGTGCAGAAAAGGCATGGTACACAGCGGTGGAGAGATTCTCATCCCAGTGGAAGAAGCTTAAGAAATATAGTGTCAGGACAGCTAAAAGGAAACAAGCAAATCACATCAGATAATCAATGTGTATCTCTGCAGGTAAGCAGGATCAGGGTGGCAAGAAAACCACTGATTTGTCTAGCAGCTATGAGCACTGTTGTGGAAAGATCTGTGCTTTCAGACCTGTTCCTCATAATCTCCAAGACAGCTAAAATGAGATATATGATTATCAGGAGTTCTTTGCTCATACACATTTATGTTTAGCTGGAAAATATATTTTCTAGCTTATCTTACCATAACCTGTAGTTCTGTTTATGTGCACTTTCTGTTTGCAAATTAGGTGCCTGTATGATTCAATTCCCAAACACACTGATTGCCTACAACTAGGAAAGATGTCACAGACTGGAAAATCAGGTCTGATACAGAGAACCATATAAAAGTTTAGACTGGAAGGTACATTTGGAGCTCTCTAGTCCCAACTTCTGCTCAGAGCCAGTGCAGCATCAATGTTAGGATACACTGTTCATACCTGCATCCCAAAATGCCAATTTATTTTGAAAGACAGCTGACACCACATACAACACAGCCCCAGAACACCAGGACAATGTGTACAGAAACCCAAGAATGGGAAAGTCACTTCCCAGACACAGGCCACATACCTCTCATGCCATAGTACGAGAAGCGCTCGCAGAACTCATTCACCACGATGAAGGCAATGCTTAGGGGATAGTTGGAGCCACAGAGTTTCTGTGGGAGACAAACGAGAATGTATCAGCTCTGTGAAAGCCTTCACTCCAGTGCCTGAGCGGTGGAGAGGAGTCCAGTCCAAAAAAATAATCACCCACTGCTGCTTGACTGACCTGTGGGTTGGACTCAGGAAGGAGGGGACCCCACACCTATCTTGCTTTGGTTAAGGCTCCCTGGTGAATCAGCCTGGACAACACGGGCCCAGTAAGGACTGCCATGGGGATTCATGGGCTGTCAGCAGCCCACCACGCTCATAGCTCCAGGAGCTCCAGTGGAAAGCTCCTACCGCCTCTCCACTGCAATGCGCAAAAACCCGCTGAGATGCAAAAACATCTTCGGATGCGTTTTCTCCTACACTTCACATAAAGCTACTACCCCGCCCCCAAAACTACCCCCTCTCCTAGTACCAGACCTTAGTAGTTAGTAGACCCCAGGGAGCTGTTGTCTGCCTTCATGTGAAGCTGTTCCCTCCTGTGAGAAACTCTCCTCAATCTCTGCACCTCCCTTGCACTGAACTGTGCCACCGCATTCACTGAAGCAGAAAGCATCAGCCCCGTGTCCTGCACTCCCTCAGGCATGGCATCCACTTCGTATTCCAAGAGCTCTGGCATAGCTATGGATAATTCAATTTATTAATCAAAACTAAACAAAACAGCGATAGGACTGTCAAACCTATCTGAGCATAGCCACTCTTTCACTGAATCTGACTTTACTCCAGCTAAAATCAGCAGTTTCCAAGTGAAATACAAGGCATTTAAACAGAGGAGTCTTGGCATGACCTTGCGTGGGCCTCCATCCCTCTTGCTACCCCACTGTGGTCCGAGCTAAGCAGCTTCCAGCTGCTTAGCTCCACTGCCTCACAACAGGGAAGAAGGTTTTCACAGCACTGCCCAGTCTCTGACAATTAGTGGGAGAGACAGGCTGACCATGCACTTGGTGAGGGATGGTGTGTGGGGGGGAAGAGTGTGATATTAGCAGCTGCATTTATATTAATCGTTTTAAATAGACATGGTATGGGCCACTGAAGTGAGATGAACTCTTCACATGTATTTCTGTGCCTCATGTTGGAAATAATGAATTCCTGTATTTCTTCCCAGAGTCCCAAATGCAAATACAGATACCAGAATAGATGTGTTTATTCAGGTTTATTTTACCACCAAGAGACCTAAGCTTATTTGAATTCCCAAAGCAATGGCATCAAGTTTAGAAGAGTCTATCTTAATGATGCTGTCTTGCTCAACGTTATACAAGAGCAGCAAAAGAGAATAGACTGGCTCGCTGCAAAAAAAGAAAAAAAAAAACCCAACCAAAACCCACTTTCCATTACTTAAGCCATAAAGACAAATATTTTTGTCCTCTTCTGTTTATATTTTACTCTTGCTATTTATGGACTGCCTTTTTATTAAGAAATACTTGGCCTCTTTGCTTTACTAGAGTAAATATGTAATTATCCATTTCATTTATTATTTACTCTGAAACCATCATGCTTAGCATATGGCTTGTAAGACAGAGTGGGCTCCCTTGGAAGCTGCACTGGGGCCTCCTGCTTTTAGACTAGCCTAAAAATGCTGGCATGCATAAGCTGTAAATGCACAAACACTCAGACATATGCACACATAGAATACCTTTCTCCAACAAGTTTTTCATAATAAAAAATAAAAGTCTTAAGAGGCAAATTGTGTTTCCTGTGGGTGCTTGGAGGTATTTTATGAACTTGGAAGTAAAATTGTGTAACATGGATATTTTTCTTCCCCTCTTTCACAGACCTCACTATCAGTACTCATGAGATTTAATAACATTTGATGGCGATGCAGAGCATGACTGTTCAAACCCAGATGGCCAGGTGTTGGCAACCCTGCTGCCTGAACTCACCCCTCCGCACCCGATGCACAAACCCTGCTGGATTTAGCTGCAGAGGTTTAAGGTATCACATGCCACGCTATGACCTGCAGTGACAGAAAACCTGGCACTGACCCATTTCAGCCACTCCTGCTCTAGGATGGGCACCTCCTACAGATGAGCAGGGGCAAGCAGAGAAAGGAGAGCAGAAGTGGTGACCTGCAAGCTAAACCTCCCCAAGCGCCTGAGCCAGGACCCTGAGTAAGTGCTTACAAACACAGAGCAATGACTTACAAGCAGTGGTACTTCCATCTGGCTTGTATGTCATGAAATGCATCAGCACATGCAGAAACCCTCATGTATTCTCTCCGCTGTATCACTGACCTGCCTGTGGCCTGCCTGGACATCCAAAAGTGGGCAGCTTTCATCCATGTGGAGAGCCAGATGCAGTTTGCTCGCTTTCGCGGAGGAGGACCTTGCTCAGCAGAGAGCCCCAGCAAAAGCAAAGAGGCTAAGCCTGGATTCATGAGCGCACAGATAGTCTGCTGTGTTTAGCTACCACTGTAAGCCTGGGATCTGCGGGATTATGGCACTCTTAAAGATACTGTGGAAGTTGATATTCTGTGTCTTTGGAAAAAAGAAAGGTCATTTAAAGTGCCAGCTACAGGAGACATTTGTTTTCACCTCTTCTTCTTGCTGACTAGCTGCAAAATGGGACAAAGATTAGTATTTCCCAGGAGCTCTGGATATCCAGTAGTTAATGTCTGCACAGTATTTAAAATTACAAGTTAAATAGTTGGCTTGCTAATGACATGACTGTGAGCATTAAGAGCAAGTATTACCACATTGTCCTGCAAGTCAAAGCCCTGTTCCCCTGAAGCTAATACAGTGTACAGTTTTTTAGGAGTCAAGCACTCAAGCAGAATTAGCTGGAAACCCTGCACAAACATCAAAGCTGTCAGGCAACAAAATATTCACGTGAATCTGGCTTTAAATCAGAGCCAAGGATGTAAACCTGAGGCTCTGGCACTACAGCTGGGCTCTGTAACACACATCAGTGGCCTGTCCTCAGTTCCTGTCCTTCCTTCTTCTTTGCAGCATCTGGGGACCCTTCCCTGGTGGGTTTCATGAAACCAAGCAAATGCAGAGGTCAACTCCCTCCCTCCCACGCACGACATCCCTCTCCACTTCAGAGAAGTCCTTTCTCACAAGGAAAGTAGTGTTCAGGAAAAAGCCAGCAGTCAAAACCCTTACCCTTTTTCCCAAACATTCAGGCAGTTCATTTTTTTTTCCCTTTAAGCTGTGCTTTCTTAACTTAATCAGGTTAGTGGAGGGATTTTTGCCTTGAGTTGTTAATGCTTATTTCAACCCTCTGCAAGAAAGGGTGTTTGTCTCTAGCCAGAGCACAACAGAGGAAAGAACAGAGAGATCTTGCAATGTTTAGAACAAGCTAAGCAGAAAGCAATGAAAAGTAAACCAGCTGTAACACTCACCGGGGATTTTTTCTGAACAGGGAAATCTCCTTTGGGGGGATCATCTCCTGCAGAAATAAAAGTGAACAAAGTTTCCTTGGATTCATTTCTCTGAAAAGCGTTCATCTCCCCTCTCGCCTTGTCTCCCACCATGCTATGTGGCTGTGGTGAGTTGACTGGGAAGATTTCCAACCTCAGGCATGAAGTTTGATTCAGTTTGAGTTAACCCTAATTGAGCACATTTGTGCAGCCAGAGCAGAAAGGGGAGGGAGATGCTACCAGGAAAGACAACTCCAGAGTTCAAGAAGAGTCAGGGAATGCAGCCTCCATCATTCACAGGTTGCGTCTGTCAGCACTTCATGGCATAGACCTCCTATTTGCTTGGCATGTCCCCAGCTATTGTACGTGCACCAGCCCAGCACAGCACTGTATGCTGAACAGATGTGAGCTGACTAAAATCCCAGGTCCCAGATACCCCTACAGCCTGCGGATTTAGGAGCAGAGCGTGCATCTCCCTCCCGATGTGGTAATGACAGGTTTATCTGCAGGGATCTTATTTCACTGAAAAGCCATACATTCATCCCAAGTCATAACTACTAAAATGCTCATCACACCAAGCCCTCAGACACTGGATGTCACGGATGCCTGCACTTGTGTTAAATCATCTCTTTGCTATATCAGGAGCGAAGTGACCCAGGGTTCATTTCTGCACTAATTCCCTGGAATGACCTTGCCTTTTCTTATGGGACAGTCTGACCTGGAGTGCACAGCCAGCACCCAGGAGCAACCCCAAATCCCGTCTCTACTTCCTATTATCCAAAAGGCCACCTCAGGTTTCCTTATGTGGCAAATGCATCCTACGCTGTGCTGGGAACCCCTGGATTCCCCCTGCAACTATGTGGGCTCAGGTCCCTACAGGTACCCTGTTGTCCCTCCTTCCATGCCCATGGGAATAGAGGAGCTCTTCATCAGTATTCTTTCAGTGCCAGTTGCAATTACAGAGCAAAATTCACTACCTTCCCATAAACCATCCTCAGTGGCTGCGGCTCTGCAGTTTTCTTGGCACAGTGAATGGGGTTTTTTCTTCCCCTTACATCTGGCTTTTTTAAAAGGCAAATGTTCAAACAATTTTCCCAAATATTTCTCCCTTCTCTTATCAGCAAAAGTACAGACCACAGCCAGAATCTGCAGTTGGTACAAGGAGTCTCCATAAACTCATCCCTAACTCCAGTACCGAGTCGCTGCTAGTGCTTGGGTATCACAGGAACCAGATTTGCAGTTGACAAATCAGGAAAGAGGCCTTTGCTCACACCACAGATCCTTAATCTGGCTTCAGTTATTGCTAAGGAGCCATAGAGAACACTTCGATAAGGGACTCAGATGTGAGAGTGCACAGAGGAAACCTGATTGCTCTCCACATTCCCTCATGTGCTCTGGCATTGCTTCCTCTGAAGATCCCCAGGGGTCCTGTTTCCCTCCTGCTAACTGGGCAGCTAAACATGAACCCTGAACTTCAGATGAGGCCAGAGTGGTCTACACATTTTATCCCCTTTTTCTTCTACAGCTGTGGCAACACAACAGTTTGGTACCTCCTCTGTACTGCCACAGACCAGCTCCTCATCTTCAGCCCTCCCAGTGATTCGCACACCTGCGCAACCTTGTTTTTCACCTGGATCACTTCTTCGGCGCCATGAACAGCCTCCAGGGAGCTAGGGTTTGTCACACCCATTTCATGGGCAAGAGTGACTCAAAAGCATACCCAACACCGGAGACAGTGCAAGGAACAGGACGCATGCACATTGGCCCTATTTCCTGCACCCCAGGTTAGCACATACTCTTGTGTCCTGCAAGTCTGACCCTGTTCTAGGGGCAGCAGGAATATTTCTGAGCCCTCTGGTGGTATCTCTTACTGCCTCAAGTATCTCTAGACAACTCCCAGTAGAGACCTGCTGTATCTGCCATGCACAGGCAAGCAGAGCAAACACAGCAGCAAGTTATTAAAGGTGTAATACAAAAGGGAGACAGAAAAGGTTTCACTATCCCTTGTGCAGGGCTGCCACACTGCTGCAATGTGATGCCTTAATATTTTCAGCATCCTGCAGCTGTATTTCCTCTGTGTGTAAACCGCCCCATGCATCACATAAGCTAAATGATTTTTTTTTTTTTAATACTAGCATGAAAAACCATATCAGTCAGTGGGATTAACATACTACTTGTCAAATACACTGAAGAGCTGTTAGACCATTAGCTGCCAGAAGGTCTTCTCAGACAGAAAGAGAGAAAAGGAATTCAAATATCTGGTAATAAATGGTAACTCATGACAAACAGCAAGAAGAAGTTAAGGAGAATAAATTTGCAAGCACCTCAGATACAAATGAATTCAGAGTAAGACTCGATAAAAGGAGACCTGTGTGGCCAGGCTGAAAATAAGGAAGGAATTGTACCACAAATGGAAATAAGGCGGCATTTCTGAAGACAAGTATAAACAAACAGATCAAGCATGGAGCGATAGAGGCTGCAAAGCTAAGGCACAAAATGAATTACAGCTAGCAGGGGGACACAAAAGGCACTAAGAAAAGGTGTTAGAAATGCTGTCAATATTGGAGAAAGTGGAAGGAAAATTAAAGTCTGTTATTTAAACTAGAAAACGAGCAAACAAAAGTTCATCCAGAGAAGACAGAAAAGTTGCGTCCTTTTTATTTGTCTTCACTAAAAAACTAAATTGCAACAAGACACATAACACCATTAAAATGAACCAGTAGGAAAATGGGTGAAATGAAACAAAAACTGCTTAAAGAATACTGGAAACCTCAAACATGATCGGATCATTAGAGCCAGATGAAGTTCACCTTCAAGCGCTAAAGGTATTATTGAACCACTTCCCTTGTGAAGGACAAAAGCAGGACAAGCACCATCACTGACTTAAAAAAGGCAGGTTAGGACAACCCAGGCATGTCCCTCCAACCAGAGAGATACTTGATTGCATAATCCCTTCTAAGCACCAAAAGGAGAATAAGGATTACAAACCAGCCATTTTGGATGGGAAAAAATGCTCTCAAACCAGACTGGTTTATCCTTTGGCAACAGGGTAAGTGGCAAAGCAGCTAGAGCAGCTGTGGATGTGATACATCCTAATTCTAGTGTCTCTAATGTCTCACAAAGAGGGTCCAGATGAAATACCCATATAGTGGGCAACCAGGAAATCCCTCTCAGAGTAGCTATCAATGATTCTCCATCAGATTAGGAGGTAGTGAAACACACAGGTCCTTAGCTTTTCCGTGGGCAAAGAGAACATCAGCACAGCCATTATGCTGCTCATGTTTGTGTCTAAAACCAGGATGGAGAAGCCTGGGGGAAAACAAGGTATGAATTCAAAATGATGTTGCTAAATGGGAGAAACCATTTTGCAGCTCTGGAATGAAAAATATGATATTCAGGGAAGACTACTAAATGCTAACCCTACCCATGGACAGGCAAAGCAGCCACAGAGACCAAATATTCTCCATTTGCATCGAGGATGAGATGAGAAAAATAACTTTATTTTCAGTAAAGAAGATTAGGGGATGCTTTGGGCTAAATTCCCTTTCTGCAAGGACATGTGGGCACTGGAACAGAGATGGCATGGCTGGGGCTGTGGGGTTCAGGCAATCCCTGAAGTCCAACATAAGAACATTTTAGGGACTGGCTAAATATCAGGTCCTGTTCCAGAGCAGGCAGATGGATGAGACGCCCTCCTGAATTTCTATGAAAATCAAGTGCTAAACAACTTCAACTGGTAAGCGTGGAAGTAAGGACTGCTTTCTGTAAAATTTCTTATTTTCTGAGTTATCCTTTATGCAAGTGGGGAAACTGAAGGATGATTCATGCCTAAATGTAATATTCAGCTACCAGATGCCTTGCATAGCCAGAAGTTCCCATGAATACATTTTCTGTGACTTTCAGTTCATCATTTAATTTTTTCTGGTTCCCAAATCCACAGGAAGACAATCTGCTTTTTCCCTTTGCATTTACAATCCTCACATTCTCACTGTTTCCTGATGCAGTACTATGCACATTAATCTGTTTATACTCAACTGATATCTTCATTTTTATCTGCATTCATCTTGTGGTACAATCCCTTCTTGGTTTTCAGCTCAGCCACACTGGTCTCTTATGACTCTTACTTTGAATTCATCTACACTGGCCACACTTTCATAGCCTTTTTACTATATCTGTATTTCTCTCCTATTTCTTTCCAAGATAAGGTTATAAGAAGCTAGATGAATGTGTGCCAGCAACACTTCGGGCTTAATGATCTGGCTCTGGATGGCAAGATAAGCTCTCCAGGTCTCTTCTGGCTTACTTTCTCCAATTCTTTGATTACAGGAAAGAGCATGGCTTAACTGATTTAGACAGATCAAGACTGGTTTCCATTGCCTACAAACTTCTCTCATACTTTAAAGTAATTCAAGAATATGCTTTATCAAATCACTTGAACAACCAGGAAAATATGCCAGTCTCCAGACCTGCATCTCTGCTCTGTTCACCAGCCCTTATAGACTGAAAATTGTAAAGTTATTTAGATTAATACCACTAACAATATCAAGTACCTAATCCGTATTTAAGAGCCTGTCATCTGGTCTCAAGTCAACCTGTAGCAATCAGAGAAATTTCTCATCTCTCCTGGTGCCTTTTTGCCTTCAGTGTCTTCTGTGATTAGCAAGAAGAAATCTTTTTAAAGATTATCTCACCAGCTTGGGTTTCCTTTGCAGCCTGCAGCACGCCATCCCCCTCTGCCATGTCTGCTGCTTCCTGTGCATTGCATGACCCCAGCTCTGTTGAGCCTGAAGATGAACGCCGTTGAGCAATCCTGGCTCGCTTTCACCCTGTTGTTAATGTTTTACTTCACAACAACAGTCCTTCAGTTACCAATAAAAGAGTTAAACTTTCATTTACTTTTGTTCTGAAGTCCTGTCTGCTCAGCTCCCAAATGTCATAGGGAATCTGCCGTTCTCCTTAAATACAGCCTGTAAGGCTGCATGGCATCTTTCATGGATATTCACGATCAATCACTTCGCCCTGCAGCTACACTATCTTTCAATAGAGTTATTACTTCTGGATGAGGGCAGGGACTGGACCTGTGACTAGACGGGATCTATAGCTGGCCATAAATCCAAACTTGACACTGTACACCAGCTACAGAGCTGGCCTTAACTGTACATGTCTTTTAGTAGTTGAGGTTGTGAGAAGACACAGCATTTCATCACCTTATGACAGACTTCAGTTCCTGGTTCTTCATGTGCCACACAGGAATGCAGACATAACATCAACATGCCATTCTCCTAGATGCTTTTTCACCTTGAAGTCATGGGTTACCTGAAGGAGGATCAACATTTTTTCGACCACATTTCTGCTGTTTATTCCTTTCTGCTTTTCCCCATGACCTCCTCTAAACTGCT